CTGCTGTTGTCTCCTCACACAGCTGCCTCACATCCTGGGACCTGGTTCCAGTCCTCATGTGTGTGGAGTTTGCATGTTCTCCTGCTGTTGTCTCCTCACACAGCTGCCTCACATCCTGGGACCTGGTTCCAGTCTTCATGTGTGTGGAGTTTACAGGTTCTCCTGCTGTTGTCTCCTCTGGGTACTCTGATTTCCCTCCACAGACCAAAAACATGCCGTGGCTAATTAGAGTTACCAAATTCCCTGCCTTGTGCCCAAAGGTTCTGAACCCCCTGCAACCCTGAACAGGATAAGCAGTTTCAGAAAATGGATGGAAGTTCATCCTCCCCCCTGCCAAATCCAGGGGCTGGTTTGCTGTTTCTGGGGGCCTTCAGAGCCCCCTGCTCTCCCTAAGGTAGTGACTGTTTGTGACCAACAGGGGGCCCCCACCCACAGGGGCCCATATGCAATTCTGTGGTTTGAGTGATGGTAAACGCTACTGCTAACCATACACCCCTAACCTAACACAACTAGCCTGTCTGCACTTAACTAACCCGGTGACACCATCTTCTGCTGACCTGAATGATAAAAACCTTCCTTTGAATACTGTTTAAAGGTGTCCATCTTTCACAGTATAGCCTCTTTATCAAAGTACCTTTCAGAGTGTAACCTCTTCATGAATGATCTTGTTAAATTATTTATAATGAATGTCATAGATTTTTATTAATGGACATCAATTAAATATTAATTAAAAGAGTATAAATCATGCTCAATATAGTTACAGTACAGTGCAAGAGTATTAAATAGAAAATGCTTTTTTGAATGTTACAGTATAACATTTGCAGAATTTTGATCTATAGTGTAAGTCCTGTGTCTCTCTGCGCTGGTAACCTTCACTCTCCTGGGTGGCCTGAAGGGGGGGTGTAAATAGCAGTGTAGCTGCTCCCACTGTCTGGGTCGCTCCTGAGCCGGAGAGCTAATAGGATCACATGAGGGAATACGGACAGGGCCTGATGTTTCCTTCACCTTTCTTCCCAAGCACAAAAGCGTCACCCCTTGTACGCACCCCCTCCAGTCGCTCATCAGCCCCCCCCAGCTGCTCCCCTCTCCCACCGAATTGGTATCCGCTGCTGGGAATCGATCCCCTGTTCCCCCGTCGGTTATATTACACCCCCCTCTACAATATCAGTTTTATAAACTTGATTGAGTCACTCAATCATGCGGGTGCTTCCCCGGGGCCCGGCATTAATACGGAAAGCCGGAGAGGCCGTTCAACCCAACACGCCGTAAAACGAGCTTTAATTGAAAATGCGGCCACTTCATCCGGGCCGGCAGCATCCTTCATGTTTATATGAAAGCCATAATTATCGGCAGGGCACATCAGCGGACTGATAGCGCTTCGGGTTACGGTCGATAGGAAACCCAAGCGCCAGGCGGCGCGTGCTGCGGCAGGTCTCGCACTCGCGGGGAACACGTCCTGACTGCTGTGTCAGTGTCTTAATCGGTACACAGAGTCACTGAGCCCAGCTGCTCATAATTGTTAGAGAAATAAGGGCAGTGGAAGTGTTACTGTCACAGCACTGGAATGCAGCGTTATTGTCATAACTGGACTGGGATTCAGAATCGGCCCTGGACCCTGCGGTAATTTTGCCTGGTATGCTGATTGGCCAGTCCAGGCCAGTACTGACCCTGTGATATTTAAATGAGATGGTCTGTAGGGTGAGCAAACACCATCCCTCTCAGAACCCCATGTATGGTACAGATGGCGGGCAGCCGCTTCCACACAATGGCCAGACAGGAATAACACAGGCCTGTCAAGGTAAAGTGCACCACAGTTCCTTCTAAAAGCAATTTGCCACTGATCAGAGGCTGGAGGTCGGGTTGTTTTTAAAGGCAAAGCGCAGCAGACGTGAGAATGAGTGTGCAGGAGACTGGACGCTCTCCCAAAGCTCTTAATCCCCCTGCTCACCATTTCACCAGAAACACTCAGGCTCCTCCGTTAAAAGTCAATTCTACTCCATAATGAGGCTACACTCACGCACATCCCCATGCAGACGGAGTGATATGTGATGGTTGGAACACGCAAGACATCCTGCATGCAAAAGAGGCCTGTACAGGAAGCACTCACTCTCTTATGAGGTTGTGACAAGACCGGCTCTGACCTCAAAAAGCACTTGGCATCCGAGAGCCACCTTGGGCTGTTGGGGTGCTGGAAAGGAAGAATGGTGGGGGAGGGGCTGTGTGCATTGGGGTGTGCAACCCCCCCCCCCCCCCCGCTGCTAAAGGGGGTGGCGGGGTATCAATATCTGGAGGACCAGGCCGCCTCGTCTCCTGGAAATTTCCCTGGATCAACACCATGAGTGGCGTGAAGAATAGGATGGCGAAGATCAAGCTGGCTACATATCAGAGTTTACAGCGGACCCTCTTGCCATCTGCCACACGCCGGCTGCATTAACCTTTGGTAAATAGAATTTCGTAAAATGCAATTTCATGCTTTAATCGATGTGTCCCGGTGGGGTATGGATTTTCATGCTTGCTGGAGAACAATGTGTACCTCATTTCGGCAGGAAAAAGCCTTTTGTTTTCAATCATTTAAGGAAAATGAAGGGAGACGCGGGAGGCGATGGTTTCATATTTTGATTATTGCAGGTGTTATACAGCACTGGATGTTAAGAAGTGGCGATACCTCTCAGCATTAACTGAGATGCGACCTGCTTCTGTACTGACGCTCAAACGGGAACTACATTATATTTACTTTGCGGGCATTTTTATCCAAAGCATCATACATTTTGAGAAAGGGTCAACCTTTTGCTGGAGTACTTGGGGATAAGGGCCTTGCTCAGGGACTCAGTGGTGACATCACTCTGTTGACACAGGGATTTGAATCAGTGACCTTCTGATGACAAGCACAGCATTCCAACCTGCTGAGCCGTGTTTGCGAAACAGTGACTTAGTGTGCATGAATGCCCTGTATTTGCATAGAAGGACAGTGACAGAGCGACCCCTTCCTAGATATACACAGCAGTAATGCAATGTGCAGTGTGTCACTTACATACTCGTCGTAGGACTCATGTGCAGCGGGCAGCAGTGGTGGTCGGTATGCGGGGGTTCCCGGTGCTCCTCGGGCACGGGGGGCTGGCACACCCCTGGCGGCTGGGGTCACGGGCAGTGCCCCCCGAGTGCCAACGCTCCCTCTGGGTGCCGCCGCACCTCTGCCTAGTGGGGGGGGTGGGGCGGCTCCACTCCGTCCCCTGGGGCACAGGGCAAAAAAAGTCAGAGGTCATTTAGAAGTCAGTTAAAGGCAGCAGGGAGATAAATATAGTCACCATGGGGGCAGTGAGATGGAAGTGGGCAGGGCAACTCCCTGCCCCCTTGTCATTGACCCTCCATATCGGGGAGAGTGGGGTAACTGCACTCTGTCCCCCAGTGTGAGGGGCGAATCAGAGGTCAGTCAGAGGGCATTTAAAGGTCATTTAGAGGTCAGTCAGAGGGCAGCAGGGTGATGTGGAGGGTCAATGACAAGGGGGAGAGTGGGGTAACTGCACTCTGTCCCCCGGTGTGAGGGGCGAATCAGAGGTCAGTCAGAGGGCATTTAAAGGTCATTTAGAGGTCAGTCAGAGGGCAGCAGGGTGATGTGG